TAAACGCCAATCAACTGAGAGGTCGTCCCATCGCTAACGACAGCGCCGTTCAGTCGCTATTCATGAACATAACGAATATGCACTCAAACCTATTGGCATACATTCAACAACAGGACGACTCTCGGGCCCACTTCGAGGCCCTTCAGGACAAGTTGGGACAGATTCGGGACGCGAGGGCCGCGTTGGACGCCCTCCGCGAAGAGCACAGGGAACAGATGCGCAGAGAGGCAGAGGAGGCCGAACTCCTGAGACAACAACAAATGGCACAGAAGTTGGATATAATGCGTAAGAAGAAACAGGAATACCTTCAATACCAGCGAGAGATTGCTTTACAGCGAATGCAAGAACAGGAACGCGAGATGATGTTGAGACAGGAGCAGCACAAGTATATGTGGCAACAGCACCCCCAACAGCAACAGGTGCCCCAACCTATGCCACAACAGGTCCCGCAGCAGATGCCGCAGTCTGTGCCGCAACAGGTTCCGCAACACATGTATCAGCAGAATAGCGGCCAACAACCGGTTGCTAATAACTATGTGCCATACGCTCCGCCACAGCACTCGACCGCTACTACTGCTGGCCATCCCTACGCTGTGAACGCCATTCCGACCACCGCTGGGATGAATGTGCAAATGTATGGACCGCAGGGCGCGCCACACCATTACGTGGGACCACCACAACCACAACAGCCGCCACAGTCACCACATGCCAGTGCAATACCGCCTCAACAGCCGAACCTTAATGCCTATGATATGCAGCCGATGACCAATGCTTTGCCGCAAATGCCGATCGCTAACCCGGGCCCTGTCGTGTCAATGGGTGTTCCGATGGCGCCGCCGACCAATAACTTACAGCAGCAACAAATGCAAAGCCCTAACCCACCGGTTCAGGCAGTCCCAGAGGCGCCACTGATTTCGTTTGATTAGTTTTCAATATATTATTTCTATTATTCAAAGTAATCTCTAATTGAATGGATTTTCGTATATTTACTTTAATTAAAAACATTTCAAAACGGATACCTTTATTATATATATTATGTTTAGAATTTTCAATTAAAATATATATTATAAATATAAACAAAATCTAAAACACGTTTATTCTGAAAGCTATTTAAATGCGTTGAGTGTGTCTTCAAATTGAGTGATGGATTTGTTTAGTGATAAACAGAAACCATGGGATGCGGGCAACAGTGGGAACGGCGGCAAAACCATACCCGGACTCAAGTGTTCGCTTTGCGATAATTGATCGCTTGTGGCGATTGACTGAGAGATACAAAGTTGCGAGACTTGTGCCCAATTGCGGTGCCTTTCGATAAATTTGTCGCCAATCGATACGATATGTTCTCTGATCTGTTGCTCGAAAGCCTTGTGCGGCGTTAACACCATTTTGGTCATCGATTGGATCAGTTTGATGACTACCATCTCGTTATAGAGGCGACTGTTCTCCGATGCGATAGAAGTGCCCCTCTGTTTGCCATAACCCGCTTCGTTATAATAGGGTTCGTCGACGAGAATGAGGCCCTGAATTGAGACAATCACTTGCAACAGATTGGAAGCGATGGTCCAAACTTCGGTCCCTTTGCCACTCCATGTGCCCAACAAACTGACGCATACTTTGCCCGTTTCGTATAGATTGGGATTCAGACGATCCGAACAGTAAGATATGTAGTGAACTAATGGCGGACCGTTTGGATAGTTGGCCGGCAGTTGAATGTCAAACAAGAAGAGCCCGTCTTCGTATGGCGTGCCCTTTGGCCCGAATATCATCACTGATAACAGATCTATTCTATCATGAAATAAGGCCACAGCTATGCCTTCGGGCAAAGAGCTCTTCATGAGTGAGATCTCGTATTTGATTCGCTTTAAGAACTCTTTCGAGTTCTTCGGTTCGATTGTTGAATACAAGTATTTATGATTTTCGGGAACTCTATCTAAAAATATCACATTTCCTTTCATTTCGGCCAAAGAACTAGATTCTGAGCACTCCATCGGTTCCGGGCATTTGACAGGCGTTTCATCGCAATTCTCTTTCACGATGTCTTCGTCTTCTATATTCTTAAGCTTGGATTTCAAGTCATCAATCAATTCGAGCAATGAATTGATGTTTTGGTCAGAACTCGACGACGCGTTTTGACTGTCACTCGAAGAAGTGTTGGCCATATTTAGATCACTATTGTTAATGTGATTGCTTTGTGTGTTTGCGACACAATTGGTTTGTGTGGTCGCCTCAACGCCCGGCGGACTCCACGACAAGTGTTGTAACAATCGTCGGGACATCTGAAGAACTTTGTTCGAGTAATTTTGCAGCCCTTTCGGCGACTTGTCGTCCGGTGTTTCGGGTTTCTTAACCGCCGATTTTAATGGATTCTGGAGACCGTTCTTACCATTCTTGAGCCATTCTTCCACTTGTGAGGCACCCGTTTGTAACAGATTTAGTAGGCGTTGACTGTTTTGACTGTTGCCACTACTGTTAGGACTCGTATGCGATAACTTTTTCGGACTTCTAAACATCAAAATGTGTCATTTGAAAAATATACCGGTATATAAATTTTACAAAACAATTCACTCACTTTTTACTATCTTTGGCTTTCTGGCCGTCCGTTTCCCAACTCTCGGCGCTTTCATATACACTAAAATCCGAGTCGTAATCCATATCACTGTCGCCCCACAAGTCATCCGAATCCTAAATGTGTTGAAAAAATATTTTAATTATTAATCAAATCAATAGTTAATAATCACACAAAGCATACATAGTCTCCGACAACAAAGAGGTGTTGCGGACACACGAGAGACGTCTGTCCGTTGAGCCAAACACATAATAGCATTCCGTCTAACATAAGATCGAGCACTTGACCGGTTCGGGCGGAGGGCTCGCAGTTCTCCTCATTCAGTGATAATATCCTGACGACACAAATGCCGGGCCGGAAGTTGAAGTCCGGGTGATCTTTGATGTCGTAAACACTGAGTTCTTGTTGAGCAACGAATTGAGGAGTGGGAGAGTCGGCCGTCACTGACAACCAGTTGACTATTGCGGTCCGCGACGTGTAGT